TTTGTTTTGGGGGCTCTAGTTTTGACTCACTGATGGAAATGAAGCATGAATCATTCTTTTCACTTGTGAATTTAAGAAATCATTTAACCATTCAATGATGCTTAAGAGATACTAAACATCTTAAAATTCTTGATTTAGAAAMTGAAATAATGATTAATCCATCTATGAATATTACAGTACTTAYACAGTGGGACTTACAAATTTGAGGCAGGTAGGACTATGTATCAAAAATTATTTCCTAGTAATGTAATGTTTTCGGAGCGGAAGTTTCAATAGTAAGCTAAAGTGATCATTTGAGGGCTGCACATCAGCTATAACGTGAAAATGTTGGTGTGTAATATTCCAGAAAGCAAGTGGCTGTGGGGGGCAGTCATGATGGGTGACTTCAGCTGTCTGCGTGCAGGTGGTGCCCCTGGTAATGAATTCCCTAAACAAACAACCTGAATCCGGTGGAAGCTGCTGCACAGACAGGACTTGCATACGGAGGCTGTAGTCCGATCTTCATTTCAGTGCYCACCTGCCGTGCCGTAGCTGCCCCGTTTGCCATTTAAGGGATAGTATTTAAGAAATCATGAATTAGGTAAGCACTCCTCTCAMTGGGTCCAGTTTCCAGCACTGCTGCAAGGTGCTACGTTTATTTGGAGTTGCATATGGTCCTTGTAGGGAAGAGTTATCAGTGTGTAGGGGTAGTTCTGCAGAGGATGGAGGGCACAGAAATGCAATACGCAGTTGTGAGATACACTGTGACTCCCTGTGTTATCAGCAAACAAATGCAGCTAGTCAGTAATTGGCACTGCAGTTTTCTTAGTAGACAGCGCCTTTGGAGATAGGCTGTCTCGTTAACTTTTAAAAATTGCATCTGCTCCAATAAACCAWATTATGTAATAATAAAACATGCCATCAATGTAAACAAATACCAGATGGGTTGTCAAATATTTTGGTTTAGATCAGTGCGAATAGAGGGAGCCACTATTGTGGCATATTGTGTGTCAGTGACTACTGAGAGCTCAAAGAAGCGTTCCCGCTGGGCGGCTGTGTCCTTGCGGCCCTGCCGCGCAGCCACGGCCTCCCCGGAAGGGCTGGAGAGAAGCACGGCCAGGGCTTTTCATATCCAACATGTTAATGCATTCGCTGCAAGACTCTCGCAGTTGCAGTTTGTTCAAGATTAATATGGAAGGACCTTTACACTGTTAAATCACAAGACTCGGGCTTTTCACAGAACGAGATGTTGAGGCTGGTACCTCTGCACTGAACTTCAGGGTATCTGCCAGCCCTTCCAGAACAATTCTAACTGATATGTACTTACATATCTAATGGGCATATGCACCTGTATTCTAAATTCAGTGAGACATAACCATAAACAAAACAGTATATCTAATTTAGCATTGTCTCAAAAGGAGTAGATCTATCTTGCATTTAGAGGGCATCCACATTTCAGTTATTTAAACCTCAGTTGCTGTATCTGCCTCTCAAATCTATGAGTTCTAAATTTATGAAASTAGTTCTGAAATAGTTATGAAAATAGTTCTGGACCTTTTAATCCTGCTGGAAGCCTGAGGCTTTGTTTCAGAAAATTTAGGGGACAGATTTTAGGAAAATCATGAACTTCAGATGACCTGTTTACTCCAAGGGGTCTCAACAAACTCTTAAGAGGAGAATATTATCTCCAATATTCAAAATAGATGTGTGTATCACATACTTTGAAAGCTTTTTAAAAATATTTYGTGTAACCTATCTTCTTCTATGCTGTTCAATACTTGGAAGATTTTCATCAGATAATACACAAGTGTTATAGCTGGATTATGAGCATGGATAACTTATTCTTCATTATGAAACAACTTGAAATTGCAAGTTGTATCGTGTGCAAAGAAACCCTTTGGCCCTTTCAGATTGTAGAGCTGCTTTTTTTTCTTCAGAGAGGGGAAATTTATGCAGTATTGCTTGGCTAAGGCAAGTTTGTTTTAGTTTGTTTTCTTATGATTAGAAATGCTATTGCTTTTCCTCTTTTTAATAGGCAGAAAGCCTCTCAGCTTATGGTTTGATCAGCAGGAATGCCAGATTTGAGATCTGAGAGTCTCTTAATCACAAAAAGYGCTGATTTTTGCTGCCTGTTAGGGCAGAAGTTGCTTGTGTTAATACTGGAATGGGGTCAAGTGAATTTATGCTCAAGGGTGTGCTTAAGGGATTCAAAAAATGTAGCTAATCTATGTAGAAGAAATTCTGACAGAAAGCTTTTAGTTTTGTCTTTTTCTGCGTCTTATCAAACCTGGTTCTTCTGCAGAAGGAAACTGTAAGTTCATGCAATGTTAGCAGTACAGCCTGTAATATAGTGAATTCTGTAATGTACAGAAACCCCATTCAGTGTACTTTGTGTGAAAAGAAAACTGCTATTTTTTTYGTCAAAAAGTGCTTCTTCCAAAGTTAACAGAAAAGAACCAACTTTACATCTGGAAACTGATGTTCATTTTCTCTGAGAAATGGGGGGGTCTCTCTCTGAGACCCTGAGAGAACTTATTTGTCAGCRCTTAATCAGCAAAGAATTTTTTAAGTACATAATTGAAAGTGTATATAATTTTCTAAAGTATATRTAAAAGCTTTGCAGAAGCTCCTGTTATCTTTTTCATGTTTGACATGGTAAAATCAAAYCTTATCCACAGAGACAGTGCACATATTTACCAGTGGCATACAAATATACTTAATCTTGATTAAACAAAAGTTTGCTTTCTTGATGCGAATGAGTTCCAATTCTGGATATGAATTAGTTTTATGTAGCCAAAAACCCAATGCCTTGTTTTTAAAAGTACTTTTTCTTGATTGATTCTGCTGGGAATGAATTTTAATAAGAAAAACACCTGTCTTGTTGTCTGACAGCTGTTGACAGCATCAAAATCACTGAGTGACTAAGATGACAACCTATCCCCACACCTCAGGATTTTATTGATGTCTTTGGTATATAAGGAACTTGGCTCCTGCGCTGTTTAACAAGGACTCATTCGGTTTGTCAGTTCTGYGACATGATCTATGTCAAGGAGGAATAATGTCCCCATGCCAGCCAAAGATGAGAAGATTGCAGTAGATATTACCAGTCCTCGTTGTAGGAACCTTGTCTGTAGAGATGCTGGCAAATCAACTTGCGTGTTTGTTCATCATGCTGCCAGATGGGGATTAGGCAAGTTGATGTAAAAATTCATGCACTGTTACTCAGTAACTGATGATTGAGATCTAGATGTAGACTGAGATTTCTTTCTTACAWAGAAATTTTCTTATGAAGAGTTACAGCTTTTTTTTTTTTCCTTAGAACAAGTGAATTACTGCAGTTTTATTGCTGTTATGCTTAACTCCCATGGCTTTACAGCTATGTGATATTGAATGAAAAATTATTAAAAGGACTATGCAGACATTATTTCAGAGTGGAATTTACTTTTCATGTGTTCGTCATTTTGTTYCAATGAAATACCTGCAATATTCTCAGATAGGCTCAAATGACCCCATCAGATGTGAACTAGTGATGCATTCTTCAGCAGCTGGTTGAAGTACATGGAAACCATATTCCTTTCTGTGCAGTGTGCCATGCTTTATAAAACATTTCAGTGGGAAAATCTTGGCAGAAAACGCTTCTTCTTACTGCCCTGAACTAAGCTCTTTTTCAGGGCGGATTTGCAGTCAACTCCCCAACTCCAAGCATTTTGGATAGCTGAGTCTGAATACAAATTCTACCCTGGCACATTCACCTGCTTAACCTGAAGAATAAGAGAAAAAAAAAAAAAAAAAAAAAAAAAAAAA